GAACTTGCTTGGTTGCCGAGTTGAAATACCCGGACAGACGAACACACACACACACACATACACACATACACATACACATACACACACACAGACAGGGTCGTCCCAATATGCGTTTTTGCAATTTGCACATAGACAAAAACGCATAACTAGATAAAACGAAAACTACGAATTCTCATAGTTTCTGAATCGCTGATAATCTCTTTCTTCCCTTCTTTCATCTCTCTTCTTAATTTGCTGCTAGCAAACGTGGAACAGCACATTTGCAACATGACTAGCCGGGCATATTACAAAAGCCAACATTCTCGCGCGATTATTTCAAACACCAATTTTTGATTAGCCTCAGTTTTTACTCAGATCCACTGCACTTTTATTAAAAAATTGATTTGTTTGGTCGATTGGATAATAGAGGATTGCCACACTTAATCAAATGCCGGCTGAAATTAGCTCAGGCAGTTTATCTGAGAATACTCGAAGTGAGATTATGTGATCATTTGCAGTTAATTATAACGAGTCACAAGCGTGACAAGTTGACGGATAGAGAAAACAGAGACGCTAAAGCGAAATGCACTGTACATGAGAACTGCTGTATTCAACCGCAAAAATGCCACAGACTAATGGACGTAGTCGAATAACAAAAAAATTGTTGCTAACTGCTGGTTTTTAAGATCGTTTGTAGCGTGGGGAATGCAGTATGGAAGTACAGCCCAAAACTCTTGTTATACTTTAAAAAAATGACGATGTGCAGAAATACATAAAACACAGAGCATTAAAACTTTTAGGTGAGAAACAGTCGGCGCAAGCCCTTTGAAGTTCAATGTAATTGCCATTTGTCAAAAGTAAGTGAGTGGTCAAGGTGAGTAGGATACAAGGCTGAGTGAGTGAATGTAGAGAGAAAACTGAAAGACTGGCGAAAAGAAGTACATTTGGCTGGAAGTGCGACGAAGAAGGGGAGGGGAGAAAAAGAGAGACGGTTGGGAAACCGCGCGGGAAACTGGAGGTGAAAGATTGACAGGAACGCATGAAGGTAAACGAGGGGTTGGGAAGCAGGCGCATAACACTTATCTGTGAAATATTTCACACCACTATATTTTTCAATATCACTAAATTTATTTGCTATGTTCTAAACTTGGGAGATTGTGCTTGTGCCTTGTTTGCCCGTAAAGATAGGGAAAGAGAACTCGATCAAGTTCCATGGAACGTCAAGGTCACCGACAGGTTGATTAACGTGTGATACAGCAAAATCTGCAGCAGTTGCGAGAAAAAATTTGGATATAGCTGTCAGCTCCTTCAATTTATAAATGCAGGTTGTTACAGAACATTCAGCAGCAACCAAACAGTGGATCTTTTGCTTTGAAAACTCTAGAACATCTGTCTCAACCCGATCAGACGCTAAGCATAGTTAGCTTCAAAATGAAAAGATGGCGCGCATGCACGTACTAGGATTAGCTGACAGAAAGATGGATGACTTCGGATTTATCCTGAAAACGGATTCATTTTTCGAGACGGTGGACAATTTCGTGCTAAATAACATTACTACAAGTTGTGGAGTATTTATTACTAGCAACAGAAATTCCGCAGCAAAATTCTTAGCGCTTCATGCGCTTAGTTTAGCTACCTAAGATGGAGCGCAGAATGCCTCAACAAGTTTTTTGTTGGCTTCCGACTTATAAAGATAACTTTATTTCGTTTTTAAAATATAGGCTGTTACGGTGAACGCAGTTTAACAATCTGGTACATGACTGGCAGCTATCTTCTCAAAATTTTAACTTTTTGGCCCTTGTTTTTTTTTGAACTGGCTTATCCAAGCAAAAATGCATACAAAGCTTGCCGTGATCTATAGCCAGTCGCTGAAAGGTCACACTGCAACACTGACGTTTGTAAAGTATTTTAATAAGATTGCTTTGTAATCAAATGCTTCAGGCCTTGGTGCAGGCATGAGTCTGCCAGTGTCTGTATTATCAACCATCGACCAAACCATTCCGTCACAGCAGCCTCCACGGTTCGATGATTTGACAGACGCTCACCACGATCCGCAGTACTGGCGCACCAATTTTTCTTCGTGAAACTGCTGCCTGTAAGCGTGGGCATAGGCTTCCTGATAAAAGTCGGTGTAGAGTTTGCATCATTCATTGTGTCAGTACCAAAATTGCAGTTGGAAAAAAGATTCGTTTCATTTTGGAATTCTACAGAATTTCAGGTCCGTTTGAAGCGATAAAGGTGCCAAATTTTCATTTTGTGCTCTGTGTCACGGGAAAGCATTTGTTACAACTGTGCAGTTTCACTGAGTTCTCACCGACTGGACAAACACTCCTTCAGTGAGCAACTTGGGTGCGCATCTACAATGGAAATTTTGCTTTAAATTTCTGTCCTCAAGCTGAACGCTAAAAAAAAAGAGAAGCATAATACGTAGAAGTTCCAACCATAATTATGACTGCATTCACCGGTGCATTATCCCCATATTCGTTCCAGTGGCACAGAGCAGCGAAATTTTTCTTTTTAATTTATCGTGAAGCAATAATAATGACCGATTGTTTTTCATACTTTGAGCCCCAATGTTTGCGTCCAATTCTAGGTGTTCTTCATAAGTGTACTAGTGCTGATTGTGATAAATGACTTGATTTGCTGTGTTTATTGTTGGTATGTTAAAATGACAGGTAACTGATTGATAGCTTTTCAATTTTTGCGTATAAATTCAATTAGAGCTTGGTTGTGAGGCCCAATATTAATGTTTTTAGATTTACGTGTCTGTGCGTCTGTGTATGTATTTAAGTATGTTTTTTGTATGCGCATACATATGCATGCACCTGTCTGTGTACGTATCTATTCAAGTGTATGCATATGTACACAGAGGCACATTTGGAACTGCGTTGTATTATCTGAATTTGGTTTTCCCATTTTTGTGCTACAACGTGGTTTCTTTCTAGCTTTCTACAGTAAACCTGGAGGTTTATTTACATGACGGATAATCACCAACTGGATTAGCCTTACATTCTTGCGTCTCTCATGAAGCTCTTGAATGGACAATGTCTCGCAATTCCGTGAAAGAAGATGATAAGTTAGGAAAAATTTTTAGTAAAAACGCACTATAGCAAAAACGTTAGGTAGCATGTAAAGAACTGTATTTGTGACGGTGCATTTTGGAAGTGTGGAGCAAAGGCCCTTAGACGAATAACCTATTCACAGACGGCAGTATTCTTTTCCACTTTTTCCGATTATAATTATCATTGTTGACACTATTTTGTACACCCGTGTTTGATAACAAAGCAGGTATGCCATTGGCTTATATTCGATTAATGTTCACCGGTACCACTTCAGTGGGCAATGCTAGGGGTTCAGCCGTCAATAGAGTTGGTTTCATCCAGTTTTTTCTTTTGGTGCGACAATCTTTTTTTGTCGCAAACCTTACTCATTTAGATGGGGAAAACTGCTGGCTGATTAGAATTTCTCTAATCAAACTAAGCAGCCGAAGCAATCTCTCCAGAACCATTTTTGCTAAGCTCTCTCTATAGTTTTGTAAGAGATAGCCATCTGTGTATACTGAGTTGATTCGAAGCACCACACTTTAATTGATATAACCATAAAATGGTATGAAAAAATATGGGATTATTCAGCTAGCCAGCTATACAGAGAATTTAAACCATTAAGGCGATAGCTGGATTCCCTGCTACAAATAGGATTGCATTTTTACAAAAACTGCTATGCGCATTTAAACTCTGGATGAGATATTCCCGAAACTGCTCAGTACTGAGAGGATATTTTTTGTCTTGGTCCGTTCAAACTGCCTTCAAATCGTATGAACGTCTGCCTATAATTTGCTTAGAAGTGAACATGAAACGCAGTCATTCAGCTTCAGCAGCTACTGATTCCAAGTCCAATGCTTGACCAGAGGAACAAAGCTAGCAGAGAGGAGCTGGACAGATGATACAGAGTGAGGGCGGGAAGGGGCGAGCGAAGAGAGACAAAAACAGCTGCCTCTTTAAGGAAGCCTATAACAAAAAGTGGGTTTTTTCTTCCAAAAATTGGTGGTCTTTTAAGAGTTTTATCTGTTGTGTGTTGTTTTTTATTACACCACTAACAGATTTCAGTAATATTGTATCTGTAATACCGCATGGCTCGCCAAATTTTTGGAACAGAAACTTTGGCAAGTTGAGCCTTAAGCTGCACCTGTTTCTATCTATACGATTCACAGAAATGCTGCCTAACGCAACTGCTGACTTGTGAAGTAACTTTGTGTTACTAGAGTGCTTTAGCTCATCAAAATAGAATGGGTGCTCAATTTAATTTAATTTTGTTCCAAAATACCCATCTGACTTATGAAAAATCCTGCTGCTTGGACAGCCTCCAATTTTTTCTTTTGTTTGGTAAAACTTGCTTGTTCGTCTTAAGCGCATCTTGATTATAGTGGTTGTGTTGCATTTGTGCCCTGTCTCTCATGATCAATATGGGTTATTAATGTTGCACTTGTGCACCTTTTCAAGTTTCACATTCGGAATTGAATATCGCTCTGTTTGGAAATTAGATTCTACATTGTGGCGGTACTTTCATGGCTGCGTTCACTGAGCAGTGACAGGAAATTTTGTCTGAAGCGAAGTGAAAAAGAGCAGGGAGGTAGCGTCGAAGGGGGTAAACTGAACTCTCTGGCAGTCTTCATCTTCTCGTTAAGGAAAAATTACGCACGGAAACCAATTAAGATACTACCTTCTACCCCATGTGCATCTTACTATTTCAAAATCAACATTTACGTGCGCTTAGATCTCATGTGCGGATGACTGAAAAAAAAAACATGTAAATTCTATGGCGGAAACGGTTTTGGGAACGGGTAAACGTAGGACGCTCGAAGCTTGCAGCGACAATCTTTTCCCATGTATGGAGCTAAAATTTCAAATTCAACTGTCACGCACGCTTACGTCAAACGTACAACCGCATCAAAACCCTCAGTTGAAACAGCACGTGCTCGAAAAATAGCCGGAAAGCGATAGCTGTAATCGTGCCAGAATATTTATCGCCATCTTAGGACTCGCATACCTGAATGGAGTTTTGAACTGCACTTGGTCAGCTCTTAGGGTGCGTCAAAGATATTTGTAACGAAGTGGCAATTCCGAGCACCAGACTAACATCGGAGCTGAAATTTCGCAAGGATATTCTATATTCATGAGCAGCCTAAATGAATCTTGAAAACCAAGTCTCTTCCCCCCCCCCCCCCCCCCCCCCCCCCCCCCCCCCCC